AACACCGTTACTGCCAGGTGCACGTAACTTCTTGTTATAAGTAAATATACGACATCTGTAAAATTAATTTTCTATTCATCATTGCAATCATCGGTGGAGTTGCTAAGAATGATATAAAATGATCCTCGGTAATTTTAATATTATGTAATGTAAGTGTAATAAAATAAAATAAAATCTTAGCAAACGTACCTACAAAAATTGAACCTAAGTAGAAATTTATTTTACTCTACAAATATTATGATATGAACTCTTTCTTACTTTTTCATATTATTGCACACTGTGTGCATTTCGTAGTTTCTTTCACATTCAAATCACTAATTCACAGAGAAATGAATTATACATTCATAACACGACCAACTTCGCCGTTAATATTTATATTTAAAAATCTATCTCTACATTACACCCAGTTAAATACGTTCATCCGTCACGAAGTACGTAACTACATACTTACATAAACATTACAGTAATTATTGCACCTATGCGAATAACAATAGTATTCCACACGGGTGAAACCGCGGGGCGCGGGTAGTTTTCCATAAATGCATAAAAATTCACTATTTAATAATAATGCTTAAACCAGCGGTTACAAAACTTTTTAGACCCGCGGCTCCCTTAGCATACAGATTATTTTCGGCGGCTCCTTTAGTACCGATCAATGATTTGAAATATGTTAGATAGACTACATTTTGTCCACAAGCTAACTAAATATAAGTGTTACTATTTCATAAGACTTAATTTCTTTATTATTAAACATTACCAATATTTAGTTTTCTTTCTCTTACATTTTTACATATTTACGATATATCGCGCCTCACACTTTGGGAATCACTGGGAAACACTTTGGGAGACAGTTAATCATACAAGAATTCTATTATATCATTCTCCATGACTTGTTCTTTTCTAATTCTGTCAAGTAATTATTAAACATAATTCGTCGACGAGTATCGTGACGAAATATGTAGTCTTTGTTAATTTTCTTGCGTGAGCTCGCAGATTCGAGTTTTAGAAACGCTGTGGCCAAGTACAGTGATTATTCGAGAACAATCATTCCGCATAGAAAGCAAATCGTTCACTTTTTTTCCAAGTCGGCGGTGTTTGACCTTGTCACAGTCATATTGACTAGGTCGTTCCGGAAGTATATATGTTTTATGTTTTATTATTATCGTATGTAGATAATAATCACTTTCGGAGAAGGAAAAGAACAAGAAATGTGTAAACAGGAAGAGGAATCTTGAGCTAGAGAAACTTGTAACAGTCTGCAATTATCTTTCATTGCATTTAGCTTAGCTGGTCTTCCATTAACACTCACAATACTTAAGATGCTTAAGATAGCGGAATGATGATTACATTGCATAACCGCGGCGCCTCAGTTTCCAAACACAAGATATGTACGATACTGATATACGGTGACCACATTATTTTCGAGAAAAGAAAACACAAATCAGACATTTTTCCCGTTGGAATCTAAATGCATTCTAATTAGGTGCACAAATTAATTCTCGTCCTTTCGGTGACCTCAATGTCTGTTCATATAATAAACAAAATTTAACCAACTTCAAACAAAATCACTAAAAGGAACTAAATAGTTTTCTTAAATTCTCTAATGACAAAATTTTATCCAATTACAAATTCGATATTACACTTCGATTTTATTATATATTTAATTATAATGTCTCAATTACTTTTTACGCATTTTACTCTTAGAAAAAGCGCACCGTTCGCCTTCCAAGAACGGAAAATTTGTTGATATAAGTTATTATATAACAATGTGTCTGCTGTTCTCGGTTTTCTAGGAAACAGTATCCGAGTCAAAATAAATAGATAAATTAATCGCTAAGAGAGAGATTAAAAATAATAAAACTTTTCATCTTTCTCTAAGGAATATTCTTTTGGCATTGAAGATTAAAATTTGCAACGACATGCATACATGCGTCGCATCTCTGGAAAGAAAGTGACACGATTAAGAATATGTCAACTCTATAGGAGAAAGAATAATAAATATTAGAATACTTCGATACCTTCATTGCGTGCTGTTTTAAAGATTCTGATGTTATAGTTGTTTCCTTTTTTTGTAGCTGGACGCGTGGAAGACGTATGAAGATCGCTATCGATTGTTTTTTTTAAAAGGGTTTGTATATTTCTTACTAAATCTGTCGATGCATCTTAATATTCTTGACGAAAGTGTATTAACCCTTTGCACTCGGAGCTATTTTGTTACAGAATGTGCAAACAGTAATCGCGTCGTGTTACATAATGTAACTTATAAAGTATGTAATTTACTGTAATGATACTCGAGATTATATAAATCTTTAGACATTGAGGAACATATTTATGTTAAAAATCAAAATTTTATACTATTCTAACATGTGATAGTGTGTGAAACAGTCATAGATATGCATTGATAGTTCTTAGGCTTCCTTGTTTATTTTCGCAAATTGCACCACGTCATACAAAATATGTTCCCACATCTTACTTTCTTATACAAATGCTCTTTGTCGCCTTTTTAAGGTGTAGACTATTCACACATTCTTTTTCCATGTAACACAAGCTCATAATTGTTATACAGTCAATTTCATAAATATTCGTAGCCTCTATGTCTATCGAAGAAGTTTGACTAAATTAAATAATAGTTTTGATATTAACAAACGAATTTTTCATTATAAATATGTATATGAGTAAGCTTATACATGTATATATTTATATATACATCAACGTATTTATAAAAACATACACATGGAAACATCAAACATCATTTAATTTAAACAAATTTCTTCGATAGACATTAAGGGTACGAATATTTATGGGACTGACTCAGGGCCGCCACGTACGTTTGTGCAGGTTGTGCATCGTACACGGGTGCTTCTCCGAAGGGACGCCATATCGCTACTAGAATTTGTGTACTTTCTATGGATTACGACTAAGGTGTAATGAATCATTCAATCACCGAGAGCTCAAACCGTTCAGGAGAGGTAAGAACCGGACGGGGGTGAGCTAGCTTGTCCGGTTGCCGAAAAGTTGTCTACAAAATCGTTAATGCTTGAAAATAGTATGTAATATCGACATTCTCGATTGTCGGTATTTTGGAAGTAAAAATAGAGTTATCTGAAATTGTAAGAAATCTTTGAATTTCTTCCCGTGCAGTGGTGAACTAAATTTATTTAATTTTGTCTGTTTCGGCAGCTTCCGGAGAAAGGCGTTTTTTCAAATTAAAAATTATTAAGGACTATTTACGTTCTACAATGAGTCAAGAACGATTAATTGATTTTTCAATTTTCTAGATACATTAAATATTAGTGATCTAATCGAAAATTTTATGGCAGCCAAAGCTCGGAGGGTTAATATGTAAGTAATTACATAACGTATGTGTATGTAATAATATATGTATATTTGTTGTAATGTTTACCAATCATGTATCGTGGAAAAGAGCGCTGAACTTTTCTTGCACACAGGCGCCTCTTACCCACGTGGCAGCCCTGGACTGACTGTATATGTGTACGTAAATCTCAATGCCTCTGTGATTTTTATCCTAAAACAAATGCACGTTGCAGGTATTAATATTTGTCTACACATTATCGTAAAAGTACCTTAGGAAGGTGTCCTTTGTCGCGTAAAGGTTTCTAGCAAACCTCAATGTAAATGAATTTACATTTCCATATGCAAATAAGAAGGTCATAAGGAAATGTTGAGTAATGTATTGCCAGTCATCGGTTCACTAATCGTTTCAGTACGCACCTGTCCGGTACGATCAGTTATGCTGAACTGATATACATAGTGCGCACGGATGGAAAGGATTAAATTAAAACCTACTGTATGATACAAAGGCTCTTGCAACCGGGACTTTAGGATTTTGCATTTCAAGAACAAAATATTGTCTGTCAATGTATTCGCGATAAAGGTTTTTCACTGTAGAAGGGCCTTGTTGAGTAAACTTTTATGATTTATCGCGTGACTCGATTAATAAGATCTCATCTCGTTCGGTTATACCACTTACAATAATCCTTATCATTATATAAATTAGCGCAAATATATCATTACTGATTCCATATGTCTGTAACTTGTAATCTTTGGAGATACAAAAAAATGATAAGGATAAAGAAAATTTTCCACGACTGGTCTCGAATTCTCGACTCTCTAAATTAATATCTTAAACCGTACTTTAAGTAACACTTCCTACTAATGAATTAACTCCTTATCGGTAACATATGAGTCACCGATTACCTTATCTTTATATGTACAATCAACTATATGAAAAATCTTCTCGATGTATACTTATTGTTTCCAGGATTGTATGTATTATAATACATTTACGAAAATTATGTAGCTCCTGGGGTAATTTGACCTCCTTAATTGAGTTAATCCTGAGCAGGATTTCTCGACTCATTTAGCAAAAGAAAGTATGGCTCATCGAAGGTTATTGTATGACCTTCATTGTCTGAGTCCTTAGGTCAAGTTCCACGAATATCCAGAAGTGATTTCGAAAGTATCCTCTGGTATCGTTAGTTATACGAAATAACTGTCATCATTCCATTCCAATCATCGTTTTTTTTTTCACGCAGAAGTACCCTGGTCCCTGAAACTACGTCGTAATTTCGTTCAACCTCCATTTTACGCGTTAGCAATCTAAATAAATCAAATGCTCCAATACACACCAAGAATAAGTAAAAAAATATTCCGCGTATATTACTTAAGACTTAACATGCTTACTTTTAAATCAAGCGTCCAATACGATTCATTGTATTAACATTGAAACTTATAAATTTATGTTTACATTTCATTATTTAACGTTGACAATTTTATTAGGAATTTTTATTACAAGAATGCGATAATGGACGTGCTGTTGATATACTTGCAAAAGAATTTAAAAATTGATAAACTGGTAAAAGGTATTCATAATTTCGTAAAAAAGAGCAAGATAAACAATAGTCATTAATCATCAATCGTCAATCATCGATCATTTACTTTTCTTAGCCCTTTATTTTCCAAATTAAAATGATGTTAAAATTTATAGCAGTGTAAGGTGCAAGATATTTGCGTTCTAATAATTGAAATAGACACGAGAGTTTATTGAAATTTTATTCCATGTACAAATAAATACTTCTCTATTGTTTTCACCTACTTTCGGTTATTTTTAGATCATATTTACACGTTCGGGACATCTTAATATACAACTTACTGAATTTCTACTGATAAATGCAGCGTATTTTATAGAGTTTAACGTGCAAGCGAGAGTAGTGGTCAATTTTTATTCTAAGCGACACTATGAAGTAACACTGCATCATTGTGAGGTAATAAAGTTGGTCGTGGCACTAGGGTCACGTAAGTTGACTATCTAGCGTAAACAAATTGACTTTTATTCGCGCAAATGTTCTATTTATGGCGATCTTATCGCAACGGACAGCAATAAACAATTTTCGTCCAAAATGCGCATTCTGTCACGTGTCACTAAATTGTCTCTTGCTTCATTAAACACTAAAATAGATTAGGAATATCACTTAATAAATAGTCTTTTTACAAGAGCTACCAAATGTTTTTAGGATATATTTGCCACACAGTTATTCATTTTCGATGCTTCATCTTTCATCTGCAGATCATTACTACACTGCGAATGTTTAAACGCACGAATAACTACAGAATGGGATAACTCGATAAAAAAAAATCGTACAAACTTGTTTTTCTTTTCAAATTGCTTGCTAAAATGTGCACTTTCCGATGGTTTGTGTATCGTTTTCGAAATAAAGTCAACAAGATCCAGGTAGCGCGTCAAACACTCAAATTTTTAAAGAAGAAAAGTGCTTTAGAGTTACTAGAACGTGAAGATGCGGTGTAGTCTCGTATTCATTTAGCATTAGTTTTATCCTAAAATACAGATAATTACCTACAAAATAAAAAACATTGTCTCGATACAATGAAAATTAGGCAATGAATTAGAACCAAATGTTGTATGTAATAGCATTGTAATTCTTTTCGTTTTATATATCATTCAAATGGTGGTTGGAAGAGGATTCGTAAGACGTTAAGAAAGAACAGTGCAAAATTATTAGCTCTGAAGAAGGGACAAGCGATTGAATCGAAAGATCGAAAGTGATACAAAGAAAGAAGAAAAGGAAAAGTGTTAGGTGTAATAATAAATCTAGGTGAGAGAGAAAGTAATAAAGGAAAAGAAACGAATAGAAGAAAGGAAGGCAAAGTGAGATTAGAAGCAGAAATAAAAGTAAAGAAGCTGAAAGTGTAGATCAGTCGGTATGGCAGAGAGTGTCAAGAAGCGAAGGAGACCGATCGGTTCAGGGGCAGGAAATGGATCCAAGGATAAGAGCGGAACGGCGAATGTATTACATGTAATTCAATTTCGATTATTCTACTTCGGAAAAAAAGAATAACTACATAAAACAAAGAATTTTTAAATTCCAACAATAGAACGCACAATATTTACCTGTAAAAATACGGAACCACGCTGAATACAATACGAACTACCCACTAGTTTAAAGGAAGCGTGGAGCACGAATGAAGACTTAAACAAAATAATCCAGCTACTTCAAGATGCACATATATGGACCAACATTTAACATTGGAGAAAACCTCATAAGAAATTGTCGCTAATAATAACCAAAGGTTGATGCGACGTTAAACATGTAATAAAAAAAAAAATTTTGATGAAATATTTCGTTGCGATAATTTTGTTGCATAGTGTATACATATACTTTAGTTGCGAAAAGCATTCGGTAGCCGTTATTAAAAGACTCTTTACATTACGTTCACGGGAAACCGTGTGCGTCAAAGTTTCCATTAACGTTATGGAATTTGTTATTCTAATCGCGGGGAGATAATTATCACAAACGGAAACATGGCTATCGTCGATACTCGATCCGTTATCTGGGCACGATTTCTTCCTGGCTGCCTGTCAGTTGGAAATATCTTGAATTGACGTTCGTGAAAATGTATGGCGCTTTCTCTGTTGGGCACAATATCCTTTCGAATATTTCAGGAAGACCCCGATCCGTTTTGTTTCCGACTGGTTCCAGCATGTTGTTCCAGAGGAGGTTTGCAGCTGAACAGAGACAAAAGAGAATATAGAATGATGAAAGTAGGTACACTCAAACTATATACTAAATCACTCAACAACAATTTGAATTTATTTAATTAACTCTGGAACTGATATTCATTTTACTGTATCTTTGAAAGAGAGGTGGACATCATTTTGAGTATTTGTTAAAATAAATTTTCCTTCGTGAACCATTCTGAAATCGTTATTTCAGTATTTGCATGCGTTTCTCGACTTTTACAAATTTTTCCATGAAAATCCAGTTCCATCGTATCGTGGCTGTTATATCGTCAGGATAAAAATATGTAGAGTCGTTTGAAAAAGGGTGATGATCTTGATATATCGAAAAATATAATCTTGAAAAAATTTGTTATCAGTATACTTGCACTTTCAATCAAATAATGTTTCACTATGACCTTTTTTCTATTATATAAAGATATACGAGATATTTCCGATGCAAGAGTTATATGGGATACCTTGTATATGAATTATTCTTCCTATCAAATGAACTGATGATGTATTTTATGATACTTATATTTGCAATAGTTACATTTACGATACTTGGATGTCTCTAAAATCGATAAAGAACGTTCGGAGCATATCGTGGGTACATCTGAGGACGAAGGTGATCAATATGGCGACGAGACTCGTAACGTTTCTTTTACGAGTTCTATCTTTTTTACGACGGAAGATGACAAGAATGACTGTCAACTTTAGACGTACTAGTACAGTTATCAATTTAAACACACGGTGAGTGGAAACTCATCCGATAATTCATTCAATTGATTATTCAAGAAATTTACATAAGATTGACCCGTTAATTCCACCCATTAAGAAGAACAAGTTCCGATTAGATTATCGTCAATTATTCTCGCCCATATATTAATACCGAGTTATTTTCGGAGGATTAATTGATCTATAATACGAGGAATTTCAACATCTCCACGAGGAGTGTTATAAAAATAGATTACTTTTATTCTAAATGTGGCGAATACTCGATTTTAGTAAAATATGTTTATTCTAATATAGTTTAAAAAGTAATTCATTAAATATGGTACTTTATGAATGTACTATTTATAAACACATATAATACTACCGCAATTAAAGCAAAAATTAAAGATTTTCATGTTTATTAGATAGTTACTATGTCAATGCACCTGAAACGTTGATCAAAAAAATTAGATTAAACAATTTGTTTCATACAAATAGTGGCAAAATTGTTTGTCGAAACCACTTTTTTTCTTTCAACTCCTACTATTTTTTACCGTACAATATTGTATTAGAAAGAATTATTTGTTGTCACCAAATATCTAGTAAAAGACCCTGTAAGTTTCATAAAAATCCACTTAATACATAATTTTTTAAAAATTCGTAAAAAGGGTTTCATTTTTAGCGCTTTGAACCAGATTCCTCCTTTAATAATTGAGTGACTTTAAGAAGAAGGTTGAAATACATGTAGTTTTAGTATTAATTGTTCCAACAATAATATATCAACGTTGCAAATAAACTGAGAAGAAATTAAAACAAGTGGAATATTTTAAAACAAAGCCTAGCTGATTTCTCGTCGTATTATCAAACGCAACGGAGATATTGTAGGCACAAATCTTTAGTGACTCAGCCTCTATAACTTTACTAGAACCGACATCACTACTATAACACTTCCTAATACCATGTGTCATTTTCGTTTAATTCAGGAAGTATTTACGTTCATTCAAACAAATTTTCTTATTTTTTACGTCACAAAGTTCTGGTCAATTGACTTTTACCAGAATGACACATAATATCGAAGGAAGCGTTACCGCAGTGATGTCGACGCTAGCGGAGTCACGTTTGAATTACTTTACACTATTAAGAAAACAAAAGTACATTTCATATATGGACCAACATCTAACATTGGAGAAAACCTCATAAGAAATTGTCGCTAATAACCAAAGGTTGATACGACGTTAAATATGTAATAATAAAAAAATACATCTGCAAAACAATGTTGTTTAATTTTATAAGAGAAATAAAGTACAACAAAGCATTTGAAATATAGGTTTCAATGTAACTTATTCAACCTTTCTAAAGTATATGCAGCGTTTTAAAAGGGCCCGCGGTCTACGAAAATTTTGATTAACTTTTTACAGACTGGTGATACCATTAACAAATGGAAGCAATTTCTGCTGAGATGCAAGACATTTTTTTAGTAGCGATGATTAAATTGAAAGGAGTAACAAAAATCATCAAAGTATTATTTAATATTATTTAATATTCATCTTAGAACAAATATATAGCATTTGTAAATAAATAATTCCTCGTTGTAAAATTGAAGTGTAGGATTTGAATGTGAATTCAGGCCCCGCAAAAGGTCACGCCGGCCCTGACTATATGCAGTTAGTAAAAATAGTATTGTAGTTAGATGTAAGGATTAGACGATTATATAGACAATATTATACATGGTTCCTTTTGCCATATCCAATTAAAATTGTCATGTTATTTTTTGTTTAAATATAAGTTTAGAGTCGCACCAACTACTAATGCATGATAAAGTTGGATTTCGATCCGTTGATTATCAAAATGAACAAATAGAATTATTTGAAAAAGGTAATGTGTATTATTGTTCTAATATTCTGGTATATCATGTGACGGCATGTTGCAACATTTTATGTCTTATTGGCTAAAGTGGTATGAGACGAACAGACATCGGACATATTGACTCATGGTCAGACCATCCATGACTTCTGATTAACTTCTCTAACGAAAAGTCTGACTACTTGATACTGTAATATACGTTAACTGATTTGCTCTTTCGTTTAGGACGAATGACGTAGACAAATCGCAATTGTTGCACGGGGTTTCGGTCTGTTTATTAATATTAATGCATAAGCAACCACGACATATAATAAAGAATATTAGAATATAATTTAAAAAGTATCATAGATAAACAACCAGAATTTGATGAAAAGAAAAAAAGTATTTGTATCGCTGTTTTATATAAAAATGCTATCTTAAATGATACATATATTAAATAAAAATGCTATCTTAAATGATACATATCGTACATTGTAGATCAAATACTATTATAAATAATAGACATTACATACTTTTTATTACTTATATGCAAATAATACTCTATTTTGAATGATAAATATTATATACGTAAAATAAAATATTATTTTAAATGATATTCTATAGCTGAAATAAAAAGTATTAAATGTAATAGGTGGTATTGTATTATCTTCTAATTTCCATGACTGAATTGGAGACAGAAGAGAAAACGTAAAACAAAATAATTAATTATAACGAACTGCTAGGAGGATTAGTGAAAATAATTATCATGCAAAGTTGCTGTTCTACTTTCAAATCCCTTGACGCTATGTTACATTTCAACTGAGTTTTCCTGATGATAATCGGTTGCATATGTACAGGCGTACGTTTTTATAATTGATTTTTAAATACAAATTAAAAAAGTGTGCGAATGCTATCATGTTGAACGTTAACAAGCTAAACACAGTAATTATATATAACTTTATTAAAAATATTTGTTAAGTAAATATGTTCTTTTTTATAAATAAATATCGTATGAAAATTAAAAGGACACAATTGATTAATTTAAGTAATTCAATACGGATGTATATTGACATAATATATATTGTATAGTTATGGTAGAATAATGACGGGTTTGTTGAATAATTTCAACGCCTGTTGATATGCAACCCTTTGTGTCTGTTCGTATGCAAATGCTCAGGCGATAAAACAGGTGTGCAGATGAACAAAGATAACGATTTCATATACAAATTTAATGTTACAACACATATTTTACATTGTCGTTACCATTATTTTATTGTGTTATTTGTTCTTTAAATTCTTACCCAACGCATGACCCTTTTGACTGAAGTGAAAGCAATCGTACGTGACCAAACTAGGATCAATTGGCCATGCTTTTCTTGGATCTGCATTTGGAGCATTGAATAGCTTAATAAACGGTTGCAGTACCACTGTAAAATCTGGCGAATTGTCGTATCTGAAACATACGAAATAATAATATGTATATGATTGTAACTTTCATTTAGTTCTTTCGAATTTTCTAATAAATTTGCGTAGCAATTAATTTTCTGGAGTCAACAAGAATCCTACTTATTATAACATTTATAAAGATACAAAGATTTAAGATTTATCGATCTTTGCAAGGAACGAATAAATAACAATTATCATTGATTGTAAATTGTTTAAACTGACGACAGTAATTATTCCTTTTTAATTAATGGTTACTTAATTGCAATTAGACGATCGAACCTTCCCGAGTAGATTAGAGTTTCTACCGCTTGCTGATAAAGATACGCCATTTTTGAGGCTGCAATGTCTGGACGGCTACCCTTGTGCATGCAAGCGCAGTATAGTGGATGCAAAATATTGCACATGGCACTTCTTGGTACTCTAACGGAGACTGTAACATCTATACAATAATCAAAACACCTTAATCCGGAACTTGCATAATAAAGTTGGTATACTTGTATACAGGGTGGAGCAATAACTATTATCATCTCAGATATCTTCGAAGCTATAAGTTTCACAGAAATAAATTGAGCCCGAGGTAAAGCTGAAATAACCTCATGGCTTCTTTTGATCTACCAAAACCGTAAGTATTATCGTCTTTCTCTACTTTCTATAACCTTCAATGACCTTATGTAATAGGTCGTTGAACTCGTTTTAAGATCCTCTATCATGATACGGAAGCAAAAACATACCGATCCGTTTAAAAAAATGGAGGTGACCTTCAAATGTCCGAAGTACCTCCACCTGGAAAAAAACTATTATCGCCACCGGATGGTTCCATTCGTACTGTACAATTTTATTTCAGCAAATATTTCTGTGAAACTTATACAGGGTGTCCCAAAAGTCAGGGAGGAGCCGGAAATGGGGGGTAGCTGAGACGATTCTGAACAACAATTTCCTTTGCAAAAATGTCGGATGGGGCTTCGTTAAGGAGATATTATGAGAAAACCTCGACCAATCAGAGCGCGCGTAGACCGTTCGAGCGGCCGTGGTAGCGAAGGCTACGCGCTAGGCGGCAGCGTCAATGTCCTTCGATGCATGTCGAGTCACTTGTTTGCGTACAAGCGCGGCCGCCAGCGCGTAGCCTTCGCTACCGCGGCCGCTCCAACGGTCTACGCGCGCTCTGATTGGTCGGGGTTTTCTCTTAATATCTCCTTAACGAAGCCCCATCCGACATTTTTCCAAAGGAAATTGTTGTTCAGAATCGTCTCAGCTACCCCCCATTTCCGGCTCCTTCACGACTTTTGGGACACCCTGTAGTTTCGAAGATACCTGAGGTGATAATAGCTATTGTCCCACCCTTTACATTACATTTCAATTTATGAAACTTAATATTTTGAGTAATCCTTTATTAACAATGATTTTAGCACAAGCATTGTAATTATTAAGTTATGATTGACAATAAGGTTTACATCAATAAAATTTTGTTTTACCACATTTACTTCATTGTGTGCGTATTAATTATACCAAAAACCAATAATCAAATATATTATTACCTATAACTGGCACAACGTTGACTAGCGTACGAGGTAGAGTTATTTTCAAAAAGTCTAGCGCTTTTCGCAAGTGAAGAGCGTAGCGAGCTGGTGAAAATTGCGTGGGACTGTAGCATTGCGCAGAGCAAATATCATTTGCACCAAAGAATATCGTGATAAGCTGGAACATAGATAAACATGATTGTTATCATTAACAAAGCATAACGCGAATATAAAGTAAGTTTCTTGATCATTTTCTCTGTATATTACTAATTACTGTTATTAGTTACATAGAAATGCGACGTATGAAAATTGTCTTCGATAACATGAATATATCGACATGAAAGTTTACGTCAATAAGAGTATATCGATAGAAAAGCTTGAAAATATAAGAAATAAATATTAAATCTTTACAATCTTGATAATAAGCATTCGTTTATTTTAAATGTTTTAACTTTTAGGTGTGAGTCATTTTCATGACCTGTAAATATGGTAACCATTTAATTTAAAAAATATTATAAAATTTGAATAATATTATTTAAAGCACAGTATTGCTTTGAAGAATTTGTTGACAAAATTTCTGTAAAATACGACTAATAATAATATTGATATTTTATTTATCAATACAATAGAACTAAATATAGTGCTACATTTTCATATAAAGGGTTGTTCAAAAAGATCTTCAGACGCTTAAAGGACATCATCTTTCACATTTAATTCTAATCATATTCATTTAAAATAACAAATTCTGATGTATTCTGAAGCAAAGGAAACCAACAAAAAATATAATAAGAAAATTTGCGCAAAGGAAAGATGGGAGAGAACGAGTTTACTTAAAAAGTATGATAAGAAGTAAAGAAATATAAGAGTTATACTCGAACCTGTCTTTGAACATAGAAAATCATTGATGTCTTCTATTTTTATATGTTTATTGTTCCATTCTCTTATGAAACAAATTAGCCTTTTTTTGAGTTTCTTATTTCTTACAACTGTGGTTTTTTTTTAGATCAAAAAGAAAATTATCTTAGGTCAGAATGAATTTGCTTCCCTATTAATTTGTATAATCGACGTGTTCTACAGTGTTACCTATGAAAATTTACTATACCTTCCACTTCTTTTTCACGTTTGCTGTGGGGTCACTCTTAATTCTTTGAACGAGAATTCGTGCCTGTTGCAACGCATCTTCCGTAGCTGCGACAGGAAAGGCAATGTTTAGTTTCGCCTTCGACGAAATGAATTCACCTGTACCGGTCGAGTACCCGGTTAAATTCGGATTGAACACCTGTCACGATATAGAAATATAATTATTTGCAGTACTCTTACGAGCTTGGAAAAGGCATAGAATTTTTTAGAATGGAAAGCAGTCTGTTACCATTCATTTGGAAAAAATTATTGATCATCCTGTGTGAGGTTTCCTCCCGTTAAGGGAGGGCGCCGAGGCTAAAACTAGCTACCAGTAGTTATTGATACAAAATTTTGAAACCTTCTACTTTTATATAGTTTTTGACGCTGGATTCAATGGTGTAAACAAAGAAATGTTTCAACAATTTCTTTTTCAAAAATGCAAAAAAAGAAATTGTTGAAAGAGAAGTCGGATCGATAAATCCATACTCTTGATTGTTTGTTATTTTTTAAAGAGTATTTGAAAATAAAATTCACCCCGATAGCTACATTCTGTAATGTTGTGCTCATGTATCACACTAACTAAGTCTACGAGAAGATTACGAGAAATTTACGAGAAGAAATTGCAAATGAAATGGAGTAGAGTGGTGGGTATTGAGTAAATTGATGTATTAATTTATTTAATTATTATACTATACTATATTTATATATACTAGTTATTATACCATCAAGACATGAAGAATAACGAACAAATAAGCGTATGGATTTTTCAACCCGGCTTATTTTGCAATAATTTTTTTCTTTTCAAAAATGCAAACAAAATTGCTTAAACATTTCTTTGTTTACACCATTGAATTTAGCGTCGCCGAAACTACACCAAAGTATAAGGTTTCAAATTTTTCTTTCAATGAGTACTGCTAGTTAGGGACGTGGGGAGGGAATAGACGACTTAAAAATATCCTTTCTATAGTAAACTATTTTGTGAGAAATATAAAGATACCTTCAGCAGATTTGGAACGGTTAAGAATCGTCTCCAATTTCCTTCACCACCTACGCACCAACTGACACCGCGGGCTTCTATAAAAGTTCCTATTGCAAACTCTTCCAAAGCGCCACTTCCTGCGATCAACGAATCTCCAAGACCACCAACGATATCAATGTCTCCTGGTCTTAAGCGATGCACGCTATCAGGAACAGATAGCGACCTAAAATAAAAGAGAAACAATTTTCAATTTTTGCATACAGTTCAAATGAACTATTTAGATCACACCTGTCTGTATTCAAAATTGGACAAAAGTGTACTCGATATAATTAATAAAAATATTTATGGATCTTCTATTGAGTTACAAGTAGACTGCGAGTTTTATGCGTTTATCACGTACAATAATATAGAAAACAGACATAAAATATAGATAAAATTCTACAATTATAATGATATTCGACAATTATAATGATATTATAATAATATAATAATATTATTTCATTTTGCATAAGTCTACATAGATTTGGTCATATTTAGTATGTAATTATTATATTAGTTTATATCATAAAATGCATAAAATACGCAGTCTAGTTATAACCGTTCAAAGTACAAAAATGACGATCTCTGTGGGTGTTAATACAAATATTCTTTATTTTGTTGTATTTTTATATTATGTAATTATGTTTTATATTGTATGTGATATAAATGACCAATTATGTATCATAAAAATAATTATAAGAATATCATAAAAATATCCGAGTAACATTGTGTTTCAATTCATTTTTCTCGTGAAAAACTTAACAATCCATTGTTAGTACAAAGAAAAAGAAGAGTCGACACTTGAAAGCAAGATAAACTATACTTTGGAAATTGGAAATAATGCAATCATAGTCAAACTTTGAAATACCTTCCAAATTGAACGTTACAGGGGAATGGAAAGTAATCTGAAACTTGAGGTTGACTTCTTCTTCCGCTGTACGTCACAGGATACATGATCCCATTGGTATCGACGTCAATCTAAAACGATAATTTTGTTTAATAATATCCAAATCTGACAGGTCGCGATGTGAACATTATGATTCAGTATTATTTATTAAACATACATATTTTGCTGGAATATACAATTGGTGCAAATATCAGAATATTAACCCTTCGGGGTCGTACGTCTATTCTCAGCCACCAAAGCTTATTTACCGTTCCGATCGTATGTTTGCTCTTAGCCACCAAACCAAAGAACCGTAAAAATCTTATATTGTATTCATCCACATATCATTTTACACTCTCTCTGTATTTTTATTATTTAAAGTTGAACTCAAGGCATTTTCAATGCCAAAAGTTTTTTATTAATGATTAAAAATATTAATAATAATTTCATTATAAAATTAAATAGAAACAAAAAGATACGTGTTGATTTAGAAACCCGATATTCAAAACAAGCTTATAACTATAAATTTCTTCAATTAAACGTCCTAATTACAAAGATATTCAATTAATTAAAGTTTCATATTGTACATACATCCGATTGTATCTTCCATATATCATTAAGATATTTCAAAAATCATACTCCATAATGGCGAGAAGAAAGTTACCGAAAGGTGCCACATGATAGAGAATTACAAAATATAATTTTTACATAAAAACGTAGCATTAAAAGATATTGTTGTGTAAACATATATTTAATGTTAACAGAAGAATCACTGCTCGTTCTTCGGAAATTCGAAGTACGACACCCATGTTTAAATTTAACACGACCGCAACGGGGATAATAGGTGTATTCGAGCTATTTCTGTTTCACACAGTTAGATCGATCGAATGATTTCTTTTTAGCCTCCTTGAGGATGTTTCATAGATTTGTGTAACTATTTGGTAGTGATATTCCATGGTTCTTATTTTGTATCTTTTTCTATGCGTAGATATTTCTTCAGATATTATTGGGACTTTTAACACTTTACAGTCCGAATTTTCTGATTTCAGTACATTTTTGTCTAGCCTCACTCAACATGGAATCCCAAAGGATTAAATTTTTATGAATTTTGTAAGACAAATTGTAGTATTCGACTGAATAAAGTTTAAGTTTAACAAAACCATTAAGCATTTCTTAAATGTAATAAATAAAAAAACTGTAACTGTGGTTTGGATATCATGATAATTTATGGCGTGTCTTGAGTAATTCCGGGTGGGGTCCATGACCCCGAAATTGTGAAAGTTTGCTTCACGAAGAGGTATACAAGGAGATATTTTGATAACGAGTTGCCTATTAATATCCCACCGAAAAGTATTATGAAAAAAGTGAAATAGAGTAGTATAATAAGATATAAGCGTAAGATATAATTTGTATCACGCTTATTTCTTATAAAACGTTTCTTTATACATAGATATACACATTCATACACAGAGATTAGAATTTAAACAAATTATATACATATACAAATATGTAGTTTTGCGGACTAAGATAGTTACTAAAATAAACAGAAAGACTGAAGTAATAAGACTTAAAAGCTAAAAGTCAAATGGAAAGAAAACAAAGATCTTTAATAATAACGATATCTCTATTTCATAGATTCTAAATATTATTTAGTTTGTATAGAGCGTTTATAAGATTAGATATGTATGTTTGTATAGAAGTATTATATATTTTATATATTCTATGAAAACTTCTGATTATATAGACAAGTTAACCCTTTGCACTCGAGAGATGACTCTCAGTCACCATTAGGTTTCACGCAGCAAATCTACAATATCTAAAAATGTTTCTTTAAGTTTAATTTCTTTGGAGCTCCAAGTGTCGATAAAATGATTGTCGGTGAGGTAAAAGTGAGCTTAATCTAAAATCTGGATAGCTTAGAATTCATGGCAATAGAATGCTAAGAAACATCTCGAGTGGCTGCTAGATACCAGGAAAAAAGGCGTCGAGTGCAAAGGGTTAAATGTAAACATAGAAATAAGACTCAAGTGTACAACCTATTTATAAGTTACGAATGTATAGTATTGTAAAGGAGAAGAGGAGTGCAAAATGGGTATAAATACCCATGCACTTTAATAAAAAAAACAAACAAACAAATTGTAATAAATTATTTGTAATTGCGCCTGAAAATACCGAACGAACACTTTCCTTTTTCTTTTCCGATATATGGTATAACAGTGTAACGAAGAGAAATCAAGGACCTTTTAATGTGCTAGCACAGTCAGGCAATGTCAACTCGATCGGTTTAATTGATAAGGCGTCAAGGCGCGGTGCAACAGCACAACACGAGGGTCTATATTACGTCAAACCGGAAGGACGACCAGACGACTGAAAAGAAGAGTGCTTTGCATGCCGAACAATTGGAGAAAGGCCAGAAACTTTTCTTTTCTTTGGTCCCCTCAACTCGAAAGAATGGTCGGGCCTCTCTGTCCTCCTCCGATCAAACGTCAGCACCTTTTCGACTCGCACGCATAGTCGTTGCGGTAAATTATTTATATGCGACGAGTATTTAAGCCACGGCCTGGCGGAATGCAAATGAAAGAAAGTCATCGGCGCTTACGTGCGCGGTGTGCTAAACTTCGATTCAACGCCGATCGCCGCGACGGAAGCTTAAATTCTGACGAAACACCGTGTACCGGACACGGCATCGCGGATGCCGGAAAGAGGCACGCTTTGAAAGTTGTATGCTTCTTCAGGAATGTATCACGTTACCGTATAAATCATGTCTGAAATTCTCTGCACGAAATTCAATTGAATAAGAGCTGGGCAGTAATTACTAGACTGCGAATGTTCAAACTATACAATGTATAAATATCATAACTTTTATTGCTAACTTTGTTTGCAAAAATTGCAAGTATAGTCATTTTATTCTGCTCTTGAACGTTCTACACGAGTCCAATCGTTGCATTGGAAGAATCTGACGATCACTTTTTGTGGACTTGAATTATACGAAATAGTAGATTCATCTCTAGATACAGTGGAGACTCCCGTATCCGAACTAATAGAGGGTCAAAACTAGCCGGATAGTGAAATTTTCGAATAATAGAACAATTACTTTCTTTCGCATTAAATATCATTTATTGAAGTAGTAATGAAGAAAACTAAGTTTCTTTCAATATCTAAGGGTCCCATATCCAGTGTTACCTGGACCTGACCTGCTACCTGGTTACCTGCTACCTCCTAAGTTTGCTACTAATTTTACGTACCTAGGTACAGGGCGAAGCATTTAAAACAGACCACCTGAATAACTCGCCTACTTTTAGCGATAGAAAAAAAAATGTCGAACGAGAGTTGTTTGATCTCGAGAAATAGGTAACGTGGTGCCAATAACTGTTTTATCGATGAAAGCGCAAATGAGATATGAAGGTCGACTCTGTTTTTTTTCTTAAATAGAATCATATAGTTGCTTATACAGATTCTGAATAAGCGTTTCAAGATGACTGCAATGACTTACAGTCGAAGGTCACTCAAGGTTACACAAGCTGATTGTAATAGAAAATAAATTGTTTCAAGGCACTCTTCAAATACTTCATTGATTTTCTTATTCGTGTACTTCCTGCTACAGCAAGTATCCAAAATGATAACCTTGAACTTGGAAATAAAAATCCAGAAGTGTTAAATCGAGGGAATGTGGCGGTCATTTAACAGTGGCAAAATTTCTGTTAAAATCTGTGCATATTTGCGATTATTTAATGCTCCATCAATAAAATGATAATCAATTATTTATGGGGAAAGTTAAAACAGCCAGTATACAACGAAATGCCAACAACCAGGGAAGGTATGTACGAGCAAATAAGACGTTGCATTGCACTTGATAAAAATCAAGTTCGTCGTGCAGTGTTTTCTACATTAACGTGTTTTAGAAAACGCATCCAAATTCAAGGTCATCATTTTGAATACTTGCTGTAGTAGTAAGTACGTGAATAAGAAAATTAATGAAATATTTGAAGAGCGCTTTGAAACAATTTATTTTCTATTACAGTCAGCCTGTGTAACATTGAATGACCTTCAATTGTAGGTAATTGCATTCATTTTGAAACGCTTATTTAGAATCTGTATAAGAAACTATATCATTCGATTTAAAAATTAATATCTCATCTATGCTTTCACCGATAAATAAGTTATTGGCACCACGTTACCTACTCCTCGAAATCAAACAACTCTCGTTCGACATTCTTTTTTCTATCGCTACAAGTAAGCGAATTATTCAGGTAGCCTGTTTTAAATGCCTCGATCTGCATATTAGCTTCTGCTTACGTTTAGATCTATATTTTTTCCAAGATGAATTAATAGAGATAATAAGGATTCATGTTTCGTTCTTCGCATATTATTATAGTTTACATGCTAAACCATTTTTTTCCAAGATTTCTGGTCGCAAACTTTTTTACTGGTTAAACGTGTTTCCAAATTAGCCAACAGTGAAAAATTCGATTCACTTGTGTAATGTACTTCCCTTTTTAAATATTAGAATATTCGCGGCTAAAATTTCCATCGTGTACATTTAAACGTATCTTTACTTGTTTGTTTACATTTCCTTACCGATATTTTAAATGGTTAACAATATCAACGTTTCTTGGAATTTACATTGCCTTATTTACGGGATGATGTCTTCTGTGAGCTACGATGCAATTTAAAATACTTGCAACAGAATGAAGCACCAGCTAATAATGCCCGCATTGCCATGCAATACTCAACGGAAACGTATCGAGAAAAATGGTTTGGCACGCAAAGTTCCACACCTTGACCGCCTTGCTCGTCCAATTTAACCTTGCTCGATTATTTTTTGTAGGGATTTTTAAAAGATCATGCGTATTCTCAGCCTTTTATTTCAATCGATGATTCAAAGGAGAGAATTAAAGCTACTCGAGTGATTATAACTGCTACATAACTTTACAATGTAATAACAAATGTAAACAAACGGGTAAAAAGTGTAACAAAGGCTCCATTACGAAAAAGAATATGCAACTGCACTTTCATATAAAAGATAATTCGACATGGGCGATTCAACTTTCTCTTCCAACAAATTTTTGAATCTCAGTTTCTAGAATCACCCTGTATACAAAGAATATTCACATTTTTACCACACTTCAAAAATTAGGCAGCACTGAGCACTGCTATAATGTAGTAATTACTTGGAAATTCACTTATTCGATAACTCTTAACTACCCATTTCGTATGACGTTTACGTAATATATTGCATAATAAAATTGCATCATTAAATGTATCACTAAAAAATGTTACTCTGGGAAACTTATCCTGTTTTGACGTGGCTTTTTATGGTACATACCTACCGTGTGAAAGACGATTTGCATGTATTAACAAATCATTAAATGACATTCTAATTTACTCTGAGAAAAACAAATCACATAACACTCTACTGTTTTCATATAGACGAGGTCGTCTTGAAACTTTTTGAACAGGGTAGAACGTTGAAAACCAAGAAAAACAAAAATAGAAAACAATTTCTTCCCTAGAAATCCACTAACATTTCAAACATCCCCGATACATTGTCATGATTATTCGAATACTTGAACCCCTTGCCCTACGAATCATGTTTCGTTTCCTCGCATAGTATTATACTTTAAAGTTAGTTCCAGTATAGTTTATATGTAGTTCCAAGATTCCTGGTCGCAAACGATTTATTGTGTGATCGCACGTGCCATAGCCGGGTATAAAGACGCTCGTGCACGTTCATACGACGTGTCTGACTCGTGCTTTTCATGTTCGATTCGAATCCCTTATCACGTGTCTCACACGTTGTTACAGCCATTCGTTCATTCATTATTTAATTAAAGTGCGTAACTTATTATACGAAGTTATTGCACTACTGCTTACTTATTACTAGCTTATTTCCTGCATTTTTTTAACTGTTTACGGCACAGGAATTCAGGTCATAAAATAGACCCATGTTGTACAGGAATTTTATTGCGTTTTAAATCAAACAAAATTGTTATATTTTTATTAATAAAGATATCACATAATGTAACAAAATAAATGTAATAACAAAATAATATAAAATAACATAAATATGTAACATAAATAAAAAAAAATGTCTTTGTATTACTCCCCAAGTTGCATGGTGGGACGAATAAAATCCCACCATACTTTCATCATTTGCAAACAAATTTAATCTTTAGTTTTTATTATAAAACACTTCACTTGTTTATATAGAACAAATTTTTATATAAATTAACTTACACCTACGATTTTTCACATAAAACCAGGAAAGAAATATTATTCGCAATAAACCTTCCGTTTACAACAATTGTTGAACCGGTATTAGCATGTTGAAAGTTGCCAACAAAAGTGCATACATTTGTAACATTGGATGATTATATTACCAACTGCTTTACGTAAATAAGACGAAATATAAACCTATACACATGCAGCTATTGCAAAATTTCGAGGTGGGATTAAAAATGTCCCACCATGCATTACGATCCATCAAAAAGGTGGGACACACCGTGCCCCAAAGAGTTAATACTGTTTGCAGTATCTCTTACTTCTCACCTATTGGGGCCCGCTGGCCCCCCTCTAACTCGGGTACCTCGGGGTTGCTGAACCCGTATTGTAGCTACAAACACCGCGACAGCCCCTGAGGACGTTGTTACAGCATAAAGGTTTAATAACCTTTTTCAAGAAACTCACCCTTCCCATGTGGAACACGTTTCGTACCAAGTCCATGAGAGACCCTCTGACTGGCAGGGCAATTGTCAGTATCAGTAACAAATGCACCGTCTTCATTTTCGTGGTACACTTATCCTTTCCGCAGCAAGTAGATTCGAGAGTCTCTTGAAATTAATTCAGGTATTTCGAGGCCTTCTTCTCGGTCGTCGAGCGCCAGTCGTTTTTTCATGCTCTTTAAAGATTGACTGTCTCCAAAGATATATTCCAACAGATAAGACTTTCTCCTCTTCCGCCAAGTAGTTGCATTCGTCGAAAACCTTGATCCTGTGCTATTTTTCCAAAAGTTTCACGTGACACACTGTTGCCGAAGAAAACAGCGAATTCCGACGCATACGTGGACTTGTTCCATGCAAATGCCCGTTCAGAGCAGATATTCGAACTTTCCTGTTTGCCAACCGCCACGACGTCTTCTATTTGTTTAACAAAGAGGGTGTATATGTAGGCTACGAAAAGTTATCTCATAGCTCGCAAATATTTGTGACATTTCTCACGAAGATGCGTCAACGTTTACAAACAATTTAGCTCTGTTTTGTAGAAGAAAGGTAAGATACAGTAGAAACTTGTTTATCCACACCTCGTTTCTAAGAGTTCATAATTAACGATTACGTTTTGATTCAATAAGAAATATAATAAAGAAAAGAACATGATTAATTTCACGTATCTCTAATCATTTCCGTAATAAAGAATAAAGGTGTTCTACAAAATACTGATGATTAAATAAAAATTGATTTTATGCAATCCATTTCTTTAGACCCATGTTCTATCTTCTTGTTCTACTGGTTTCCTTCAATATTTTTACTTTTTCAGATAAATTCGTATCGAATATCGACATTTTAATTTAAACAACTGGAATTTCTGAATAAAAACAGTATAAACTGTTACATACACAATAAATTTTGTTCATGATGGTTATTAAATGAAATTTTAGAAATTAGTAAGGTGTTCTGTCTTCTTATCCCTGACTTTATGAGAGTCGATGAAACACATTATTTGGCTGTAGCAATTTCGTCACTTTCACATTTTCAACTCACGTTACTGTTTGCAAATACGTCCGATTCGTCCTTCTTTTTTTTTTTTTTTTTTTACTTCGCGACAAGTATCTATGGTGAAAGATAATTCGCGTACATATACGTGTAACGAATCGAATTATGTAAATCGTTTGTACGTTCAGTTTCTTTTTAATGCTAATTTAAGGTTGTGTTCTGACACAGGTTGTAACGCAAATCGTATTCGTACTAATTAATAATAAATTAGGATGCATACCACGTGAAACTTTCCATTATTGCTGACCCATTTCCGGCGAGCGAACGTGAAATTCGACGAACCAACTTCGAACAATCGTTTCGAATAGCAAAAGTTCCGAAACTGTAATTCCATTGATCAGAATGCAATCCGATAAAGCATGAATGATTAACAGAAACTTTCACTAACTTCTAACCCTGTCTCTATGATAACGTGAAGCAGTCGAGTCAAGATAATGATTCGATTCTCGAGGTCTGAAACTTGGGGACAAAATTTATTTGATTTATTTATTTCACTATTCAATCATGTTATCAAACGTTAGCCTTGATAAAAGTACTTCATTTAGTTCTTCTCGTTCTTTTAGTTAATTTGTTCTTCTAAATTAAATTATTCTCAGCGTATTTAAAATAATCTAAAATAGTTTTCAATTTTAAATCAATAAGAAGAGGTAGATGAAGAGATATACAATATACATATGTGTATATTGTGTTTCTCCTCGTCTCTCTTTTTCAATTTAAAATGAAAAATTGTTTTACATCTTTTGATGGATTGAGAATGAGGAAGAAAATGCGAGGCACTCGATTATTATTTAATAATTGCACTGCATTGTTGGAGATACAGTTAATAACAGATCGAAAGTAAAATGAAATACAAATAATGGGTACTGTCAAGACACAAGATCCACTAACTGTTACTCCGCATTTTAATTTTCCTTTACGATCTAACCCCTATACATAAATTCTATTGGAATATAATTTGAGAAGTTGCATTCCAGAATGAAATATATATATATATACGTAGTAAAAACATGTATTGTTAAATTTCATAATTTCAAAACTGTTTTCTTCGATAATGAGAAAAATATTACACTATAATGATTAACTCACAAAATTTGCTATTAAATATTTTGATTTTCTTTAACACGTTGGTCGCTATGTCACTCAGAAGTGGGTGAAATTAGGGAACTAAAAGAATTAATTCCGATGTTGAGACGATAATGAAAATAAATCTTGATAGGATTCGTGAATTTTACGAGATTAACAAATTAAATACTACGACAAATGTTAAATTATCTAGTCTTCGATAATCTCGAGACAACATTTTAACTTTATAGAAATTCTCACAAGTTTTAACCTGGCAGCCAACGTGTTAACTATTAACATTCCAGTGAGAATGAAGCAAATGTACTCGAATGCTGCTATTATCTACTGCGAACAAAACATTAAACAACTTTCATCGCGAACCTTGATATAGAAGTCGAATAGAAATGTGCGGCAATTTCTCATCGAACTTCTATCTAGGACTACGGCTTATCACACGACATTTTAATTAACACTGCGTTTCGATTATTCATCGTTCCTCTTCATTCGCGTTTTTCTTTCCGTAATTTTGTATAATTTTTAACGAAACCGCGCCAGATCGTGGCAATGTGGTCAAACATTTTTTCGTCAATTTGTGTTTCTTTTTGCCACTCTCTGCAAAATATTTCTGAAACACACACTTTTTCACTATTTCGTTTTCTTGTACGGCACAAAGTAATCGACACTAATCATACGTTGAACACGATTCGGCTTTAGTCAATGATCCTCTAGTATTAGCGGGAGATGAAACAGGACATGAATGAAGACAACCGAGGAAAGAGGTACGCGTATCCGTCGATGACCCCTCTACTTTTCTGCTGAACGAAGCATGAACGTTCTTTCGTATTCTATACGGTACCAAAGCCATCGTACGTGAGTAAGAGTGGCGAAACCAAAGTTCGCCCTGTTACGGTTGCGATTGTTCCAATAATTGTGTCAACAATCACACTTCGTGTTATTATAAATTACAGATTTATTTATTACATTCAAAGTTTTCGATTGGACCTCGTTAAGAATATCATAAAACAAGTATAGTTGAACAAGATGTACATTTATAGTCATCCTCGTCATATTTTAAAAATCTACAACACTATATATACTGTGTTCCTACTCATCCTTATCTTTCTAATTTAAAAACAAAGATTATCACTATATTAATTGTCATTTATACTGAAAATTAACATTCTCGTCCTTCTACCTTCATCTTCAAGCATGAACTTAGTATAGTCTGCCTAGACGCTATTTATCGCGTCATCCTCATTATATTTTAAAAATCTAATCCACATTAAATATTGTGCTCCTATTGATAGTTCCTTCTTTAATTTAAAATCAAGAATGACTACTTTATTCATTATTGTTTACAATAGAAATAAATGTTTCGTCTAGGGTCATTTTCGAGCTTAAACTTATTGTTAGTATAATCTAATAAGATATTAATTTGTTGCGTGACCCCACCATATTCCAAAAATCTAAAACACTTTTTAATTTTGAATAAGCAAAACAAGCATTTCACTTATCAAAGCATTACTACAGTAATAAAGATCTGATACGAAATCTCCGCTAAATACCAATTGAAAAGAGTTACTTGTTCAAGTTTTTAGAATCACTCTGTATAAACAATACAGGCTTGTTTGTGTGCACCTTTGTAAATGTTTTTAAATGTTGTATAGAAAGTTATTCAGGATATCGAGCGAGATAAAGTACCCCTTCATTTTTCGCAAATGTAGGACAGAAATTTTTAGAAGTGACAGTCACCGAAATGTTTCATAAAATCGTATTAACGAAATCAGTTACGTGTTACGTTTGGTGTTTCGTAACTTTATGAAGTAGGAACTCTTCGCGAGAAGGTTGAACCTGCTATCTAGTTTAAGAATGGTACGATAAAAACACAATTACACTTTCTGTATTTTACATTCTACAACGTCGATCGTGGACTGAACGTTACGCGATTAAGCCGCTTGTCTTCTGTAATTTTAAACCGGATTTTTGTTATTTCACAATACGTCATGTTACATGAAGGGCTTGCGATCAGCCGAGGACGATTTTATGTTACTTAATTTCCTAAAAAGTTACACAATAATCTCAAGGATTACACGCGAAAGAAACTTATGCGTAAGAAGTGTTTCATTATTTTATAATGAGAACTGTTGTTACGCTATCGACTAGTGTTCCGGTGAAGAAATTACACCTTCAATTTCAAAACAGAATTTTACTTACATATTCAATGTATTTAAAATTATGTACATGATATTCCAAGAATCTCTCTAGATTTGTGTGAAATGGAATTAACACAGTGTTGTGAACAATTATGAACTCCCTTTTTTTAAATGTTTCCAAGAAACATCTGATACGTATGAGTATATTTATAAATAAACAGTACAAGTCTGTATATGCTGGGTAACTCACGAAAATTTGTACCTAAAATATCTCCGCTGCTTTATCGTAATACAAAAATTGTAACATAAATGTGATAGATTAACATATGTCTACATAAAGTCATGATTACGTAACAATACTAACATTAAAATATCTCTTAAGGGGGTATCCTGAATTAGGAGATCTAAAAAAAAGCGGTTTTTTCGTGACTTTTTTAGGATGGAAACAAATAATTAATTCTATCGAACTTTTTATCCTATTTTCATACGTATTTGAGTAGTCTGTACAAATTTTTCCAACAAGAAATATTCAAATTGAGTCGACTGTGACGCATATTTGTAGAACAGCTCACAATTAAAACCTCCTATCGGCGGGAAAGATGCAAGTCGTAATTTTGGTTTGACACAAGAAAACCAAGAGAAATTTTCATTTTCATACATTTTTCTTCTATTTGAACTAAGAAAAACCCGCAAAAATGGTGAAATGTGAAATTACTGCAAGTTTGACAAAAAGAACGAGGTATTTGGGTAAAAAAAATCACTTTAACTTGATAAAAAAGCTGTATGAAAATGAATTTTTTTTTTTTTTTTTATCAAGCCAAAATTACGACCTGCATCATTTCCGCCGATAGGAGGTTTTAATTGTGAGGTGCTCTACAAATGTGCGTCACAGTCGACTCAATTTGAATATTTCTTGTTGGAAAAATTTGTACAGACTACTCAAATATGTATGAAAATAGGATAAAAAGTTCGATAGAATTAATCATTTGCTTCCATCCTAAAAAAAGTCACGAAAAACCGCTTTTTTTTAGATCTCCTAATTCAGGATACCCCCTTAAGCTAATGATTTTTTTATCTAAATAGGTTAATACGTTTTTCTAGAGTGTGGTGGCTGACGGGAGAATAACTAAGACTCGTATATGATGTTAACTTTTTAATTGAGACGATCGCGTCTGTACTCTATAGCTTCTCTTACAAGACTGACTTACGGACTAACCATTCGTTCCCTCAAGCATCGCACACATTCTTTCTTCATTCTCACATATCGCTTGCACTCTGTTTAAATAAATGCATTCACCCTAAGAAACATTCGCTGGACATTTGAACCAACAAATTAAACATTCACTTAACGCTTGTCGCGCAACACGCGCCTCGATTCACTCTTCCAGACGTAACATTTAAGACTAAACATAACTATTATAAATATAAGGCGGAGACGTGGCGTCAGCTCGTCGCCGATGGCGCCACATAGAGAATATATCAAGCTGCATCAACTGATGTACTAAAAAATGTATGATCCTATTTTAAAAAACGTTACGGTCCTTCAAACTTTCTCCATACGACCACCTTCAAGAAAAGTAATAAAATCAGAATGTGCCCCACTCGAAATCATTTTATTCTATCTGAATCATTTCTCGCTATGAATGAAAATATTGACGTAAACCGAGGGACCATCCTTTATAAACGGTTCAACTTGGGCGGTTTTTGATGTCTTTAATATAATTTAGTAGAAATATTTGAAAGACTTCGAGCAACAAGAATAGACAAAAGAAAGTTATCTTTTGACTCGAACTAGAAAGATCCCCACCAACTGACTCGGTTGTCAATTCACACTGAATGAAAATCTTGCTTGTTCCCGAAATCTCACGTCCTTTCTAGGCGTTTATGATGTACATATTTGCACGGCGACAAAACGCTGTCGCCGAGGTCACGCGGTTCTCGGCGAGAGCCTCGCGGAATCGCGGGGCTCCGGACGCGGTGCGGCGGCAAGTGACAAGCGTATCAGAAGTAAGAATGCAACTAGCGACGCGTGTGCACCTGTAACCGAGAACTGCGAATAAACGATCACGCATAATAAAGGTCGATTTATGCTATCCGCACAGAGACCCGGAACGGTTCCGTATTGGGCTCCGTTCCGACACAGACACGAGTGTTTATGTTATACGTTCGTCGATCGGTGGTACCGATCAGTCAGTTAACAGAAAGCGTTTCGTAAAGACACGTAATAGGACAAATAGAAAAAATGTTTTCACATTTAAGTATGCGAGATTTGGCTGTAATAGCTATACTATTAGATGCAGACGAAGTTGTACAAAAAATATGCCGCCGTTTTTGTGTGCACAAGTGCTGGAGAAGAAGAAAAGTTGAAGGAGAATGTTGGATACTCTACAAAACTTCTCTACTAACAGACGACGAAGAAAAGTTTTTTCAATATTTTAGAATGTCGGAATATAGTTTCAATTTTCTTTTGGGAAAAATTGAAAATTCTCCCAGAAAGAAGAACACGACTTTTAAGGAAGCAATTAGGTCAAAAGAAAAATTAACAGTATGTTAAGGCAAGTATTTTTCAATAACAATTCATAAATACACAACATACACAATTCACAAACAATTCATAAATGGAAGCATATAAATAAAGTAATATTATTGATATTCTCCACCGAACTGCTCATAAAAACTACTGGTGGGTGTAGTGGCAGTTAGAGTGGAGTATGAAGTCGATGGAATTTCTAAATGTGATGCGATGTTCTTTGTTTAATGAATCAATAAGACCAATAAAATAAAATGTATTCTAGTTTTTGCATGTATATATATATTATATCTACCAAATTGCCCCAGTTTCTACCCGATTTCAACCCATGCTGCTTGTTTCTTGTCGGTATCACTATACTTTATATCCTCTCGATTATACAAAAGAGAATAATCTTATTATAAGAGAATAATACTTTTCTGATCGGTGCTGAACGAATACGTTCCGGGTCTGTGCGGATAGTATAAATCGATCTTAATACATATCACTGGCTACTATTATTTCCCCGTCACCTTCACCTATGTTCCGTGACTACCTCGGAACGAGAAGTAGCAGAGTTCATTAGGATACAGTGACGGTGGAAGAACGACATTCCATTAGAGTGATATCCTCTAGTAAATTGAATTCGTCGGATCCTTTGCTTTCGAAATTCAGGACTTCTATAATTAGGCATCGTCGCACAAATATATCTAACAGGTTCCCAATATTCTGAAGCTGATACAAATTTTAAAGCTGACTAATGGAATTAAGTAATGGGATTGTAATATTATGCAACTTGAATTTTATGTTTCTTCTTTTTTATGTGTGTGAATCTTATGTTTTAAGAGTCAACATTGTTTCAAAATAAAATCACCTTTGACAATTGATCACAAGAAGGTGACGGTATATATATATACATTAAACTTTGGCCTTTTTTGTATTATACACGAACGAAAGAGAAATATTATACTATCCATTTGTTTTTCGAGAATAATGCAAACAATAAAAATTACACAAGTGTCCCACGAATACGTTTAATCAACATTTAATACTTCTCATGTACGGGAATATTACTTTTTCAAAAAACATTGCAATAGCAATCTGAAACTTCGAGATCCAAATAAAATTTTTCAATCATGGTTCAGAATAAATATTCATTGAAGACATTAATCGTTAGAAATTTTCCTACATTTTGTTGTAATTATTGGTTCTAATAATTATAAATTTATTTCTAACAATGGTTAAATTAATTATTAACGATACTTGTTTAAACAGTTACAGGGAATATGAATTTGCTGTAATATTAATATTTCGCGAATTATTTTCTCGATGGATCCAATTAGCGTTCGAATCAACTGTTAGTCGATTGCTGATCACCTTTTCCTCTCTTCTTCGCCAGGTATAAATCGTCACAGATCTCCGAGGACTTCATTTTTCTCGGAGCTCGCACGTGCGTCTTCTGGCCATTTATGGACCAAGAATGCCAGTGAATGACCACCGCTGATCTTCGACAATTAATTCTAATTCTGTATACATTCATTTAAGGAAACAAAACCCTTCTTTACTTTTATTTGAAAGACGTACATGAAATAGTGAAATAAAAAAAGTTGTAACGGAATTTCTATCAACTAACAATAAATAGCGCTTACGAGTACACATAAATAAAATTGTAAGATGGCACTTTTGCTTAAACTTATGCAAGATTTTTAAATGTTAATTATTTGTCTAATCGTAATTAAAATAACACAGAAACTGTTGTAACCTGGAATGATATAATGTCGACAAATTGTAATATATTCATAAATATTGTATGTATAAGAATCAGGAAATCTTATTCAATCGAATACCATAGAACCTTAATAATTGCAAAAGAACGAAACTAAAAATTCTTACAAGTATGAAGTTCATTCTTACAATGATCGAAGTAGAAATTTCTGTTTCATTTCGCTGTTTAGACAATGTCTTTGCAGTGCTCCGCGCGAATACGAATCGAAACTCTGCTGCCTGCTCAAATTTTTATTATATTTATTAATTTACTAAGTTTATTAAGTTCCTCTTCCAAAAACGAGTAACGAGTTAACAACGTACAGATTCTGCACCGATAGTCACTGTTTGCATACTGTGAGCAATCTGCACCTGTGATGTCAAGGCTGCGGGTGAATTCATCTTGTGTTTCTCTGGTCGCAAGTAATTGCTCGAATTTTCCTTGAAATATCCACCTCACTCGATTACTCATTTAATTATCGCAACGAAAACTCCTTGACACTTAAAGCGTATTGTGATTGTCCGTTTTTCCTAATTCAAAGTGGGATTTAATATTTCCTCTTTACTCGATTCTATTTTCGTGACAAGATTTCGTTGAGTTTAAATAATAGCCACCGGATGGTAGACAAATGGATAACAGAAATTCAGTTTGGTTATTTATCAGTTTAAAGGTTGCATTAACAATAGGTTTATGGAGCGTCTTACTGGAAGTTATTTAGAACGCAAACTTTCCTCGATACTTTTTAACAGTGAAAATGAAAAGCATCGTTAGCTGGCAGTTAGTTATTTGCAATCGAGTATTTATAAACGGGAATGAATTTCCGACTTTTTGATGGATTAGTACATGACATCCGGTCAAGTTACAGCGACTCATACTTTAAAATCTAATTGAATTTCGGGGAAAAAGGATTTCTAAGTTTTCATTTTTTACTTTTGAAACAAAACGTCGGATGAATAAACTGTAAATATAAAAAAAAAATCGTCTTGTAATTCTCTATAAGGAGATAGTGAAAAATTCAAACATTGATTTGACGAATTTAAAAATTTCGCTTAGTTGGGCGTACCCCGTAGAACTTCCAGCAAAAATCGTCCCGCGGTCAAAGGGTTAATTTTAGTAAATCGACTTCACTTATTAAAGCATCACTTCGGTAAGAGAAATCTGATAAGAAATCTTCGTAAACCTAGTGTTAATCAAGGTTCTATCGTATATCTGAGAATAATGCAATGTTTAATCGTATCCTTTTGTAAGTAAAAAAAATTTTTTTTTTTTTTATCTAAAGGAACTATTGTTATCGGAGCTTGTTATTCTTCCACGAATTCTGACGAGTCATTAGGAACGGTCTTTCCGGTGTAGGACACAAAATCCTTTCATATGGTGGAGTCCAGGCTTTGCTCTTATTACCATACGGTTCTAGCAAATTGTTCCATACAATATTGGCATCTTGTAACAAAAAGAAATAATTATACTCCAAAGTCTGGAAAAACTTTGTTAAATTATAATTGATACTGAGGCTTCTGGGTGTAAGCAGTGTCCTTTGGATAAGATACGTTTCGTCAGGATTTCAGATAGCTTCTTCAGGGATCAAATGACATACTTACAAATATTCTGCGTACCATGTTTCATTGAAATTACCATTGGCATTGAATTGTTACAGTTGAGTTGATATTTGTTGTTAGAAGACTCAAGTTACAGAACGTACGTCAATATCAATATGTCATTTAACCCTTTCGACCCGGTTGCTTTTTCTACTTGAATTCTATTCGTTCTTCTTTTAGAAATTAATTGAATTAAACTAGAGATGACTATAAATCAAAGGCCTTAGCCAGATAAGAAGGGACAATTTGTTCCAACACAAGTGATGTCCTTTTTTTAACATATGTTCCTGCGAGTGTCGACTGTAATTTGGTAAACGGCGACCAAACATGTCCCAGTAAGGTTGGAAGGGTTAAGTCCTGGAGAAGCTAGTTATAATGCTGAGAAAACTAAGGAATACCTGATCCAAAGGAAGCCTTGGTTAATATCAACTGTGAAGAATCGAGCCATCAGAAAGTCTCAATTGTCTTTCTCTTAAATTATCTGGATTGGTGAATGTATTTAACTTACAAAGCGCATTTGTCTTTTGGCTTATATGAAAACAGTCACCAGCAAGATACGATAAATCTGCGAATCCATCACGAGCTAGAGGTATAAATGCATGTTTAAGAGCAAGCTCGGCTTCTACAGTGAAATCTTTCGTGTGAAATTCTGAATATTCGGCGATCTGTTCATCCAATTCCTGCCACCTGAAGCAGTAACATTAGCGTGGATTAATTTCAAGTAATTCATTGATTTATATGCGTACTATTTTATGATCATTGTCTACGCATATTATGATTATTCGAAAACTCGATAAATCTAATAAATTTTAGAACGATTAGTTTAATTAAGTAATAAAATTTACGTTTACTGATTCTTTCTTTAAAAATGTAACATTTATTTTCCATGAAAAGTAACTTAAATATTTCGGAACTTTTCGTCGATATTGATGTCGGTAAATTTTGATCGAGGAAGTCCGTGTCCGTCATTCCTATGGGATATGTATGTTTAAGACGTTATACAGACCTTCTCATTATCTCATAATATTCCTGTAATCGATCTCGATATTGCAATCCAAACAAACAGGGACATTCTATGGTTGTCGTGAAGTAGCAGTCTATAAAATTCCTTCCGTTGCGAGTATCAACAAGTGCTTTCAAGTGAGGAGGTGGAATAAGAGCAACGAAAGTCCTTGGCAAATTATCCCTCAGTATCCTCAGAGTCCTAACCATATCCTCTTCGTGAGCTTTCAAGAGCGACCATGGGGAAGGCATCGAGCACAGTTGCATGCAAAAATTATTGCTTCCAATCATCAATGTAATCAGCTGCAATATATTATTTCATGTTAAGCGATTTCGTGGAATATAAAGTACCGCGAGACTTATCTAGAGCGAAATATTTTTTATTCGGGGCTTCGTGTCTATTACAAATTTTAATAAATAGATAAACTGTACTTATTTTATTCCTTACGAAAATTGAAATGAATTCAATATTAACAATGGTAATGTTATTGTATTCCCCAACTGTTAAACGACCGCTCTGTATCTGTCAGCGATATGCTTCTGCAATTACTTTGAAACTAATGATAAAATTATACAATTCTTATAGTTTTACATTTTTTTTATTTTACACGTAAGAATTTATATCTATTGTGTTTACGAGTAGCTGTGTTCTTATGTGTTTCTAATATTATTTTTTCTAATAATATTTAGATTAATCCATAGTTATATAGTTTAAAAAATAAGTACAAAGTCAAGCATCGGATTGCGGATGTTTGAGTTTATAAGCATTAAGTAAGTGACGTACATTATAAAAACAGTGTAAAGCTACACTTTATAAACACGTAATGTCTGCAAATATTGATTGGCCTTCATAACTTCATCTTAAAAAACTTGCTTTGCAATTTTTGCATATTCTTATGAACGTCGTGACTTCACTGAAGTTCAGAAAGCAGAATGCGAAGAAGTATTGCGGAAAAGTATGATTCTACAACAACAAGAACATTATATATTTTAATCGTAATATGTTTTATTGCATTAACGTGGAACTTTATAAATTTATAAAGATTCAAACATACTTGCAATAATGAATATGAAGTTGATAAACGTACAAAACGTTTGTAATGTTCGGAAATTCATATAAAACAAGAATATGTACTTTAAAATAAATGTACGGTTTCGTAACACATTTCAGAATTTTTTAACTTCATAACAAATAATAATAAAAATACTGACAATTACAAAAAGAAATACAATGTAGTCATTAGCCATTAATGATCATTTATTAGACATTATTCGGGCATTAATTGTGAATCGTCAACTGTTGTCAATCGTTGTGAACAGTCATCAATCGTCATCAATTGTTATAAACGGTTATCGACTGTCAGTAATCGTCGGTAACCGCCATCAGTCGGTAAAATGGACAAATTAATTGTCAATTGTCGTCAATAGTCTTGAATAATCATTAATAGTTATTTATTCTCGTCTATCGTAATTGATAATGGTGAAGCGTCATCAATCACTGTGCATAGTCATCTACCGACACAGTTTGTCTTTAATGTGTTTGATCCACATAAAGTAATAAGAACTTTTATTGCAATCTAGTTTCATTTTCCTTACTGTCCCATTTTTTAAATAAATTCATGCGTTTACATAAACTTCTACAGCCTACTTATCATTGACCTACAGAGTGTTGAGAGTACTGTATGTTGATATTAGTGATGCGATGGCTCTAATGGTTTCAAATATAGAAAGAGGATATATAGTGTATTTATTATACAAAATTAATTAGACCTATTTACGAACCTTCCAATGTTTCTTAACATCGATCCTCGGATTACTTTTTATTTTATTGACTAGATATTTAGCCATGAAGGGCATGTCTTCGGACATTGCACCAATTTCGGCGGCGTTCAACTGCGAAGCCTCGTGAAAATGTAGACTATTGCCAAACGAGTAACCTATCAAATTTGGGTTGAATTCCTGCATATACGAAAGTAATGATCAATCAGTATAGACGATTCAATACAGTGATTAATCGATATACGTAATTTAAATGTAACGATAAAGTAAACACCGTCTGTCGAGAAAAATTTATACCTAATGCAACGAAATGCATTGTTAATTGCACGAAATTAACTAAAGAAATAAAACTATAATCACTATTGTCTTTCGAAACTTCTATTGTGCCATAGAAAGCTGGAAAAAATATTAGCGGGACTGGATTGTCATCAGACATCATAGATAGTCGTGTCACTTATTATGTCACTTATGTCACTTATTATCACACTTCGAGATAGTCAACATTGATTGGTATGTCATAGGTAGTTCTACTGTTAACTGATATCAAATTTTTTATTCTTATCTACACTAATATTATAATCTATACTCATATTATAAAGAAGTAAAGTTTGCTTGTTCGTTCGTAGTAGTAATTTCAATTAGCATTATTACTGGACACTTTAATAACCTTCCATGATAACTAATAGTCAACTGTCGCTCAACGTGGCGGAAACTTTCGCGTCTATTAATTTTTTTCCACGTTTTCTCATGAAAAGAAAGGTTTCTTTAACGAATCCTTTACAAAAATTTCTTAAAAAGTATCGTTCACATCTGTGAATGTATATTTACTAGAAATTAGTCAGAATATCCTCTAGCTGTTTTCTGGATACATATATATACCCTATGCATATACGTGAAAATAATGTAATACAAAAATATTGCTTATCAACAGATCTAAAAAAAAGTTAGCGACACGATATACCTAGCTTTTGTATTTAAACCACAATAACGTTTATTATATTAAATATGAATTGAAAATTATAAGGTGAACTTTAAAAGTACTTATAAGGTATAATATATTAATTTTTGTAAAAAAAAATATCATTTTATCATCTAGGAAATTTCATGAAGATCAAATTTGCCCTTTTCAGCATGTTATTAAGTCGCATAGTTTAAGAGATAATGAAAAATGAAAATAATTCACAGAGAAATGAATAAGTTATTTATCACACGACCAACTTCGTCGTTAATATTTATATTTAAAAATCTATCTCTACATTACACCCAGTTAGATGCGTTCAGCTGTCACGAAGTATCTAACTACATACTTGCATAAACACTACAGTAATTACTGCACCTACGCGAATAAGAATAGTATTCCACGTAAGATATCATATAAGTAGCGGGATATCTATAATTTATAATTCATTGTTAGTCAATGAACTGGTCTCTATTATGTTTTCAAAAAAAAAAAAAAAAAAAAAAAGAAACAGGCTAAGGACTTTTTAGACAGTCAGTGTATGCAATCAATTGACGAGTAGAAGACGTACCTTGATCATATTGGGGAGTGTTAGAAATGTTCGCCAGGTTCCTTGGCCGCCGATAGTCGCTGCGGCACCTCTGTTTTCAACGACAGTTTCGAGTAGATTGTTTGAAAACACTCCAGCACCAGCCGTCAAAGAATCACCCATCGCGGCGATTACATCTATATCACCTGGCCTCAAACGATGAACCGATTCGGGTACCTCTGTAGACCTGCCACCTGAAAGTATTTCACCAAATAGCTGTTAGCAAGACCGTGTAGTCCAACACTCACAAGAATCGCGTTACAAAAAGAATATTGTTCAAATGTATTAATATTTGTTATCATTTATTCGTGACTCAGTTTATCCATGATTCATAGATTTAACCCTATGCACTCGAGAGGTGACTCTCAGTCACCATTAGGTTTCACGCAGCAAATCTACGATACCTAAAATGTTTCTTTAGGTTTAATTTCTTTGGAGCTCCAAGTGTCGATAAAATGATTGTCGGCGAGGTAAAGGCGAGCTTATTCTCAAATCTGGATAGCTTAGAATTCATGGCAATAGAATGCTAAGAAACATCTGGTGTTACTGGCAGATACCAGAAAAAAGGCCTCGAGTGCAAAGGGTTAATACTGAAAGAGAAAGTTTCAAGATTTGAACCATACTGTTTGGCAGTGGCCGGAATACAATGATCAGCGTGAAGATTTGTTCGTCTTCTCATTTATTCGTCATTTATAACGTCCCAAAGAAAATCCAACTAAACTTTCTCGTGCACAGTTCACAAGCACTGATAAAATAAAGTTAACGCACAAGTAAACAAAATAAAAAAATGTATTTCACACGTAACACAATAAACCGACGTGATCGGACCAAAATAACAAAAGAAAAATGAGAAATTCACTACCGGTGTAGAAATAAGAGGTCCACCGCGCCAACGGATGATTCTGTATTTTACAAAAGGGTTAAAAATTATTTATAGTTTTCTCAAAGACTGCAATGTAAGAATTTGATGTAACTAAATTGTATTTATCACGACTATTGTATGCTGTATAAGCCATTTATGGTTTGAAGCAATAAAATAAATAAATAAGTAAATAAAAATACTGAAAGAGAATATTCCTGTAACCTGCCACCGGAAAGTATTCACCAATCAATTATCATGCAGATTAAATAGGCTAACACTTACATGAACCTCTTTACAGAAAAGAAAATGCACATGTACTATTGCACTTATAAAAAAGATATAATCTTGTAAATATAGTACTCTTTGAACCATTCATCTTTTTCATTCGACATTTTTCTCTAAGAGTTATGCTGATAAAGGAGCTACGGCTTGTTTACCCATGAAAGAAAGAAGAAAATATAAAATATTCGAGAAGAACAAAAGGGAAAAGTCGCGGTAAGAGTCGGTTATGATAGGGCACTTATGCAAGTATGAAAATTACGTTGAATCTTACGATTAACACGACAGTGCTTGGAGAAAAAAGAAAGGAGTCTACGTATGGCAAGAAATAATAATGACAAAGGAGATTATCCGTAAACAAATTGGTTTGCAAAGGATAGCTTTCGTAAATATTTCTAAAGCAGCTGTTTGCCATAATTGTCCTTACACATTCTTGAGAAACGAAACAATACTTGTTATGTCCCTTATGAATTTTCTCGTTTTGCTAATCCTTTCACCGACTTTCCAAACAAGTTCCCGAGTAGTTACTTTGGAAACAAATTGTCGTACAAAAGAGGCAAGGATGAAACAAGATAATTAGGTGAATCGCATTTGATACGGCACTCTGACCTTCAGGTGTGTGTATTACAACTTTCTAATCACACGATTAGGTAACTAGCTACTGTTTCCTGATTATTTACAATGTACAAATCTATGTTACGCATTCTCCTTTCTTTATAGATGTATGATCTTGAAACGTGAATCAACTATGTCATTCTAGTACGAGGAACAGAACTGAATCGATAATCACACGTTTTCTGAAAACAATTATCTACTGTAATTAACAGAGACGGTTGGGACCATTATAGTTTCCGACACAACGTGTTCAGCACCGTTTAGCAGAATTACAAGAAGATAAATAAAAATTGACGAGAAAAAAGCAAGCATGAAATGAAAGGCCCAATGATAAATATAAATGAATTAAAAATTGTTAAAATTGAAACAAGATTGCGAGAGGAAGAGAAAGACTAAAGATATAAAAAAGAAAATAGGACATTAAAAGATTATTTAACATTTTTATATAAAATTTAATTCTCTTTAAAATGTATTGAATGCCAGTAACGATGAAGACGAATTTACATGTTTATTTCAAATCCATAAAAATTCATAAAAAAATATGAATATGGAATCTTGCACAATTAACATATAAAAAATTCATTCATTGATACATATATACATACATCAACGAAAAAAGTTATGAAACTCGTGAACCTTTAATACAAATATAGACTTTAAGCAATTTACGTTTTTTGAATAGAAAATATATTCGCCGAGTTAGGAATAAAGATTGATATATTACCATGTTTTAAAATAGCCATTCGACGAGTTCTAATATACACACAGTTTGAAATAGTCTTCATTCCAATCACGATCGAAAATTTCTATGCGTATAAGATTTCGTATTTTATGTTACCTTAAGCTGAATAACCAATATCGACAGTGCCATGGACGAGTTGTAATAAAATACAACACAATAAAAAATAACGCTTAATAGCAATTTGTGTATACATCGTACGATGAGAAAATTTATTCAAATGTCAAATTTTTACTTCAGACATTTGTAATTGAATAAAGTTTATTTACTGTCACGTTGCAAGGACATGCAGAAGTTCTAATGCGTTCTAATAAATATACGTTTAACAACATTTTGTACAAGATACGGTGAACAAATTTATACAAATCTTAGATTTTAAAGTTCGAGTGTTTGTAATATACTAAAATAAACTATATTTACCTGTGACATTGCAGGGGAATGGAACATTTGGAGGTACTTCATCTTGTATTTTAATGTTACGCGTCGATGAAAAACTTCGTTCCGATCCCATGTTACCTAAAAAATATTTGTCAATTCAATTATAGTCACATGTATTGTCACTGATGAAATACTAGTATTATCAAAATAATTGTCACGAATAAAAGATGCTAATAAAGAAAAACTAGCGTACTTTAATACAGTAATCGACATAAATTTAAATTATTACTTCATTAATGTTTTAAAAGTGAAACATTAAACTACTTGTGGTGTTTCGTAACCATCTTCTTGAACTATACTTGCCACTTATAACAAGGACGATGTTTGAAATCCTCGGCCTTGATCCTTGAATGAACTAAAAGAGGCCATCCAAGAGGAAATTGAAAGAATTTCCCCCGAAATGCTAGCGAGAGCGATGGAAAACTTTCAAGAACGACTCCAAATGTGTATCGCCCGTAAAGGCCACCATTTGGAAGATATCATTTTTAAAACATAAAGTAAAAAAACTCTTTTATATCTAGATTTAAGAAATAAAAAGTTTCTGGTGGTATCTCGTACCATTTTTTTTCAATCGTTTTTTAAAATGTGGGAGTTATTTCTGCCGCACCCTGTATTATACAATAACAGTCATTCGCGGTACAATGAAGAATGTGATACTACTCTTGCAAAAGAAGTTGAAGAACATGTTTAAATATTCAAAAAACTTCAGGCTATTACTTTATCATTAATTAACAGACACACGAAGTTTTGAAGGAATCTGTAGCATAATTATTCATACTAGACTGCCACAGTGTATAGAGGCGATAGCAATATGAACCTCACCCCCAAAAATAATCTAGATTCACTAATAAAAAAGAAATTCAGTCAAACACGACGCTAATGGCCAAGCAGTCAATGAAACGTAAAACAAGACCATTAAAAAAGCAGACACAGCTTCCAAACTGCCGTGAAGTTCTCGATGGAATGATAAGTGACATAGATGAAGATTGTATAGCTTCAACATACGTGGTATGCGAAGTTCTTGCTCCAAATGCCTGATAATAATGTGCAGGTTTTGGCTAATAGCAGTACCGACATTTCTAGCATGTGTTTCGTGCATACCGCACGTAACGGTCTCTAGCGTTTTCTTGGTTTCGATTCTATAAGTTTGCTCGAACTTTATTACCATTTTATGATACAATAAATGTGATGACAGTTTCATATCAGAAAATCAGTTCGCGTATGAACGTACAGCTTCACTAACACACGATTTGTCTTCATTATAAATGTAACGTAATGATTGTCTTTCTTACTTCGAACATGACTAAACACTTAGCAATACGCCGCCAGTCTCGCGCTAAATAGCTAAGGAAGAGACATTATTCGCATTTGTTGATTCAATATAACTCGTATGTTTAGCACTTCGCAGGTATCAACTATATTGTGACAACGTGCATCATTACGAGCACAAAAAGTTCGCATGTCATCTTAACACTATCTCCAATTTACATTACTATTTTGCTGTTAAGAAGATAATCTGATGCTTCTGATTCAGACCTTTTCGAATGTATTTTCCTACTTTACTTTAGTTTATTTACTTTAGTTTAATTTAATTTTCAATTTTTTCGCCAATAAAGGACATGGTCGGGTGACAAAAAACGCAACGTTAAAAGAGCATACATACTAACCATTCGGTTCATCATGAGACGCAAACAAAATCATAAAACGGTCCGTGGAATAACTGAATGGAATATGCAACACAACCACAGGATGCAACAATAAAAAAGGATTTTTCTTGTAAAGAAAAAAAGGTAACAGCATTGAAGAAATTCGAAGAAAATCAAGTTTGAAAAAGAAAATATTCTTTGTAAAAAATCATTGTAATCACGCCATAAACATTTCACATATTACAACAAACGAGAAAGATATTTAGGTAGGCTTCTTCGATGGGGACACCCTGTATATGGCACAATTCATATGTCCATAAAATAGATAATATAGTATTCTAACTTACATGTTTATGTATGCATTTTTATAATCAAAATTTTGAATTAATTTACGACTGAAAAAGAATATTCTTACAAGCATCCCTTTACGTTAATTACATCAGAGAAAGATTCTAAACATGCCATTACCACTTGTATCGATTTTATGTAGATGGGTGCCACGCTTAGAAGAAGTGGGTAATATTCTACTTGGGGTACGCATACCCCAAGAGGTACACTTGAGGTTGTTAAGGGGTACACAAAAAGAAAATTAGTAACGAAAGGCAAAAATATATTATACATGCTTTTCAATCATTTGGAATGAAAACCTCGAAATCAAAGATCTATATAAATTGCAACAATTTTAAAAGTCAAAACAGTTGCAAAGCCAGTAAAAACGCAGAACTCCGATCCTTGAATAAATTTGAATATGGCATGACCGAATCATGTAACGTAGAATGATTAATTGATCTTCACCGATGCACATTATCAACCAATTCTAACTAATATTGGGAAAATGCTTGTAATTTATTACAGTTTAAATTATAATCATAATGAGTAAACAATTAAATATCTTCCAATATTTACTATTCTACTATTTCATATGTTTACTAAATATTCCAAATATTTGATTTCTCCACATTTCAGATATGTTATTTGCATATTTCAGCATATATTATATGTAGTAAGTGCATACACATCCACAAAACTATTCATGAATCAATTATAATTCTAGTTGAACGAGAAACGTCGATAAGATGTCTATTAGACATTTATCAAAACCAAAAAAAAAGAAACAAATTATACTTTATGCTTTTATCTTTTTACTAGGTACTGGATAACTTGGTAATTACGGAACAACCTTGTAGAACTGCATATCAATCTCCCTACCCCAATCGGCACTTTTTCCCTTGATACGAATTCTCAACGAAAGGATATCATTGAATTGGACTTAAAGCCTTTTCGTTTTTTCAAACCCATTTTATGAAACAATATCGCAAAACACAACCGCTAGATGATGCTGACATTGAACAAAGTGACTTTTCGGTTGATCGAAAACGATTGAAAACGTAATCATCCGTCAAATTTAATATATATGAGACTATGAGGTCGCCTACTTGCATACTAAAACCAAGAAAAATTAAATTAAACTTCACCTTGGAACTTGGACAACTGGAAAATATTATAAAGTGTCACTTTATAGTCATCTTCCATTGTAGAAACACTTGAATTATTGAATTATATGTTGAATTATTTTATTTTCTCCTCTTATATTTACCAGAATTTTCAAATTTCGATGCATGTCAACGAAAGGGTACCATTGAATTGCAAGTAAAATATTCTTGTTTTCTCAAAGGTAATTTTTGAAGGAGTATCACAAGACAACCATTAAATGACACTAACAAAGTGACTTTTCGTGTGATGAACGTCACCTGTCGAAGATTGGGAGATTATTTTAATATTTATAGGACTACCAGGTCACCTAGACAAATACCAAAAACAAAGCAAATCAAGTTACGCTTCATCCCTTCCTGTATTCACTAAACATTTTGGAAATATTATGAAGTATCACTCGTAATTATTTTATTTTCTGGCCCAATTTCCACCAGCATTTTCGAATTTAAAGACGTGTCAACGAAAGCGTATCATTAGATTTGAAGCAAAGTACTGTCAACGCTAGTTTAAAACACTGGATGATACTTAAACTAAACAAAGTGACTCATCGTTTGATGAACATCACCTGTCGGAAAAAAACGAGAGCACCCGTCTAACTGAATGTCTATGAGACTACGAGGTCGGCTATGTACATACCAAAAGCACGCAGAAAGAAGGTACGAAGTTGACGAAGAAGTTGACGGTTTTCCGGCGAGTCCAGAAACGTTGTCTGAGAGCCGACTAGCACGCATACTTGGAGAACGAAGTACAGATGCAGCCTCTTCATCGTGGTTCACCCGATGAAGAACTGATGTCTCGGCCACTTCACGGATGACACGTGTCTTCTGATCACTTGGCCGAAACGACACTGAACAAGTCCGAAACGGTCGGTGCTGCCTTTCAACGGTTTGCCGTGATCTGAGATCGGAATACTCGCGGAACAATACAAAACCGCCGCGCTGGCTGCTGCATGCACGTATCATTGACGACCTTGATCGTACCATAGCCGGTTCTGAGTTTCAATGATCGCTATGAAGGTCACTTGTTAGCATCGGTGTGATCGAGAAAAAGTAGAGATACTAATGTATTCCGCAAAGTTGGACAATGAAAAATAAGTGAACATCGACCTCGGGTCTTTTACTTTCTCAGACGCTCGGCTACGTAACGTATTACTTTTGCTGTTATCATGAAGTACTACTTAAGAATGACACGATAATATTTATAATGTTACGAGAGGCTAAACATTATATGAGGAAATACATCTCGGTATTTATAGTTTCATTTCAATTTTTACATTCATTTGCATTCATTTACATTCATTACATGTATTACATTACATAATACACAATGTACATTGTATATCCATCCACTTTCTGTATTTATTGTTAGTACGTATTACACACTTGCTAATAATTGTGACATCAGTCACTTACTTATATTACTTACAAATTATATCAGTTATTTATAGACGCATCAATCAGATTATAGGGCTATTAATAAGTCGACTTGATATCTTCTTTTTAAATTGTTTATCCTAGCATCATTTCGTATCAAATTTGTTCAAACGAAAATTTTGATCATCCTAATTACTTCAAATATTTTGTCATCCCCTTTAATCAAAATAACCTTAATTCTTAAAAAAATTCTCAAAATGCTTTACTTCATCCTGAAAAACTATATATGAAACTTTATGTCGTGAATCTCCCCAAGCATCATATTTACAATATATAATTATATTAAATATTTTTGTTAATCAATTCTAATAATTATTTCACAAATTGATACCATAGTTTGATGTTCATTGTAATAGTACGAATTACGTTGCTATCTGTAATCATAGAATTAACAAATATAAGTAATCAATAAAGAAATAAACATAAAATCACTTGAAACGATTATTTCATTGCAGACGTTGTAGTACTTATTAATCACTATAAATAGTCTTAAATAATTACTTTCCACTAAAGATGTTTTTATATACACATTTTTTCATCCATAAGTTCTACAGTGTTGCTCAAGACAATAATTTCAGAATGAAACATATTCCGATATTTATAATTTCATCTAATTCTTTTAAGCTTCACGTACACAATATATATTTACACTATTTTCTATACTGAGTAACTTAATACAATTTACAAACAAGTGTCGTTGTAATACTGAATTGTTGGAAATCTTTCTTGTTTTCAATTATAATTTTCTGTACGAAGAGAACAATTACATCTTAATTCATACACCACATTTTTTGAATTCTTTTTATATGCTAATTTAAAATCGCTGCTGTTGTAGAATACTACCTAAGGATAGTATTGCAATCGGTACAAATTGTTCAACCTCGGGTAGATTGTATTACACGACATTTTCAGCATGTACTGCCAACTTTGATATGATCATTTGAACATATGAGACATTGAAGTCACTGTATTGTTCAAACGATTCGATAAATGCATAGAGAGATGATATATTTTGTACTTTTCTAACACGTTGGTCCCTACTTCGCTTTATTTTTCAAGCGTGATCCTAAAGCGGTAAAAAGAAAACAAAATGAAATTTCTTTGTTCTGAGATTGCTATCCAATAATGTACTTAATATCTCAGGGGCAGTTTATCACAAAATTATGACACTTAGTAATATTACTTCTCAGTGTGAGCATTGATACCATTCAAGTTCTGAAAAAATCAGAGAAAATTTTTTTTTCGTGAATAATGTTGGTTTTTTTATCTATAAAAATAGTTACTAGAAAAATATAAAATTTGATCAATTTACCCCTATATATGGGGCATCCTCCCTATTATATTTTTTAAACAAAAAATATCAACTCTAGAGTTTATAACATTTCAAGATTCAGTTGTACAAAGTTTTGATTGGCAACATCATTTTCGGGATATTTTTGTTTTTTGCTTATTGAAAAAGCAAAAATGCTGTTCATGAAAAACAAAATTGTGTGACGTGTATGGAGAAGATGCGGTGACGAAATGTCAGTGCCAAAATAATTTCAATGTTGACAATGGACCACATTTCTGGTAACCCAGTTGCATCCGATGAAGACTTCGTTAGCAAACCTCCAACTAACAACACAAGAAATCACTAAGAGATCAAAGTCGGATTCAACCGTTTATAATTTTAATTAATAATTAATTTGATTTTGTTTCAAAATTTGATACATGGATTTAAACTAAATGTTTTTAAAGAAAGAGATTTGCTTCGTCTCAATAAAATCTGTGATTTGAAGCTGTTACAGCTTGTACAGCCTGTAATAATAATGTTTACTCGAAAACATGAAGAAGAAAAGCTGACGCGGCGCAACGATTCGCAACTTGTGTTGTTTCACTTGTAATTAAGAATTTAGTAAATCGTAACGTCTCGTTGTTCGGAATCTTTTTATTCATCGTGTGACCGACGATATCGTGAAACGTGAGGAAGAGGCTAGTATTCGGTTAAACGGTAAAACACGCCACCAGGAAATTCCTGCTATGCATATAAATTATTCTGGCATCTTACATACTGCTCGTATTCAAACGAAATCTCCAAATTTTCTCAAAATCGCGATACTTTTGTTTAGCCATTTCACCGCGCATTGACGCATTCCTTCGGTAACATTTACATTCTTCTTGGAACGAGTTCGAAGCACAATTGTCGAGAGTATATATTTTATTCATTCGCTAGCCTCTTAGTCATGTTAAACGTGATATCAGAGATGGACAAGATTTTATTTGAATAACAGTTGACGAATGAAACTAACGTGTAACGACTTATTCGAACCGTTTATTCGATCGAACAGGTTACGTTTTTCTTTGATCACCGTGGAAAACTTCATTTCGTAATACAGATTTTACAGATATCAATAATTTTGTCAATCTCTGTATACAATTTGAACGTGAAATCTATACAGATATTTAAACAGATGGTTCACAAACTTCAAAGAACATACAGTAGTCAGACTGATTATGAAATACTTGGTAAATGTAGGTCGAGAAGATCAATGTTTTCAAAGAAGCGATATTCAGTTTTGGTGAAGCAGGTGGTTCCGTTACTTTTGTTCGTCGTGTATGATTTCTAGACAAAGACTTATCTGACCGTCATTTCCATTTCATTTTTATAAAAGGCGTGTATAGTGTATATTAATTAGTCATTATATCCTGTTAGAATGCATTAATTAATTAATATTCTCTTTGCGTTAAGGCGTGAGCAGACCAAGAAACAAACCAACCGAAGGCACATGTGCTCGAGTCTCGTGTAAAGTCTGAGCACATGTGTCTTCGGTTGTCTTGGCTCATTGATCTGCACGCGACTTTATACAATTGTGTACACTTTCAAATATTTCTGGGTCCTTTCAAATCACTTATCAAACATATTCTATTTGCATATAATATCATTATAAAATATATTATAAAATAAAAATAATTAAATAGAATTGTGAATTTTTATATTTATTTCATCGTTTTATAATATGATTCTAGCATATACTTCTAGTTTATTCATTTTATAATTCTATAATATGATTCTCATTGCTGAAGAATCAACCAAGTCAACGATGTTAAAACCCTTTCAGACCTGGCGTCCGCAATTGAGGACACAAAATTTAAAAATTAACGACACACTTTTCTTCAAAAACTACACTATTAGGTTTTTTTTTATTTGTTCCATAGTAATTTTAGTCTAATTGTAAGTTAACCCTAAAAATTAAATTACATTAGTACGGGAAAAGAAAATAATTCAGGTCTGAAAGGGATAACTGCAATTATAACGTATGTATATTAAAAAATGACATCAAAGCGATTTTCGATTTAAATAAGGACGATATTAACTCTGACAACATTGATTTTTTGACCTGCGTTACCAATTGAGAGCACTACATGTATTGTCTACATTATTTGCCCTTGAGGTCTGTCAACATGTTTTTATAGCAATCTGTATGCAAGGTGTTTCGAGCCAAGTGTATTGAATCTTGAGAGATCGTTTGTAATTTCGAATAAATAATATTAAATGAAAATAGGTCCTATTCTCGATACTTATAACAATTTACATTTCTGACATTTATAGGTTTTGAAGATAACTCTAAAACAACATATGAAAATGTAAACAAATAATGGCTCATTCGAAACTGCAAAATTCTCATTCTGAAATCAACGAAACTGCTGCTAACAGTTATTGGATGATGAATACTTTTATTAATCATTCTTGAAGAAGTGATCGCGATAACTGACAGATAAGTATAATAATGTTCACGGTAATTACCATTGATCTCTTATCACAGAAACAGTTAAATTGTCAACCAACTACTCAAACTTAGCGATAGAATTTATGACAAGATCCCTCTTTACACTGTATAATCAATGTTTATACAATTTTGAGAGAAGCGAAGCGAGTACATAAATAGACTCGATTTAAAGGGTATAGCCGGGTTTGGGGGTCAAAAGTGCCCTTAGACCAATTTCGATTCGCGATGATGTATTCGATAGGTTATCAAAAAAGACTAATCTGTGCCAAGTTTCAAGTTCCTATCTCGACGGGTGGGGGAGTAAACAAGAAAAAACAAAAATCACGATTTTGACCAATTTCTCTCGTCCTGCTGCATGAAAAATTTTGAAAAAATCAGAGATATTCCAGTTAGTGAGGCACATATTCCAGAATTCTTTCAGATTTTTTAGTTTAAAATCCAAACTGTGAAAAATAAAAAACGCAAAAAAAAATGATGAAAAATGCCGGTTTTGCATCGAAGGAATCTCAGAACTACGATTATAAAATTACAGGAAGTGTATATTATTGTTATTATTGTCTTCAATTTTTTTCATATTTTTAGGAGTGGTACGCCGTAGTTGGAAAAATCAAAAATCGATTTTTTTCGCTGTTTCGGTGTGTTAGAGCAACTTGTATAAAGAATTTCTGTATACTTTTTATGAAATACATAATTCTTAATGTTTTGACATGGATCAAAACA